TGGTCCATATATACACAAAATATTCTCTGAATATCATATTAAAGACGATTTTGTTTGTTGAAGCAAATAGGCCGTTGACATTGTTAAAGTTTTTATTTGTGATATTTAGCTATAGCAAATGCTGCCTTTTTTATGTATACTTTTTTCAATTGTTTTTACTGTGTGTATTCGGTATTACAAATTTTTAGCAATAATGTATCAAATAAAGCATTGATTTTGTGTTGAAAATATGTACAGATAGAGATGGGAACTGTCAACAGGGCTGGGACTTAATGCATCAGTAAACAAATGCAACGTAAAAGATCGATTTTGTAGAGGACAAGGTAATAAAGCAAATAAATGTTGAATTGTAAAAATGGACTATTTTTTTAATATTAAACAGCTGGAGAGATGCGTAGTCAAACTGGCAAAGCCTAATCATGGATATTATTCAAAATTTCAACCATTAGTACGCTAAATACAAATTGCTTGATGTTATTTACTAAGTGCTAAGAGCATTTTTTACACAGAAAATGACATGTAACTACTTCCGTGAAATGTGATATGAAACAGAGCAAAAGATTCTGTAACAGACACCCTTACTTGATCATTTCCAAAAACAGCAATTAACTTTAAAGTAATGCCGAAACAATAACGCAAAAAAAACGGTAAAAGTTTATTATTTATTTACTTCTGTCTATCATACATATTGTAAAATAGAGTTATTAAGCTTCTGGTGCTTTCGTAATAAGAAAAAGATTCAGCAATTTTTCTTTCTTTAACAGACCTAACAACATAAAACTTTCAGAAATTGTTTCGCAAGCAGTATATCTAATTAGATCATCTACTAAATCAATCTCCATCTGAGTTTGTTCATTTGAAAGGGTTTTGAATTTTGGTTTTTAGAATTGGGTTTTCGATAAAACAACTTTTGGTGGTCACAATTTGGAATCTGTATTTTTACCGCTAGTTTATTTTTTAGTTTCTTAACCATTTGTCTATGCGACATCTCTTTCTTACATCTACGTTTCTTCAATAACTAAGGTATATGTTTTAAGATGATATGTTTTTTAGCCTACAAAAGTCTAATAAACAGCAATATAATTGAGTAAAAAATTGATAAAAATAAAAAAAAGGAAAAATTTTAATAGACAACAAGAAAAAAATTGTATTTTCAAAAATCTGTTCTTTGTAAATAATTTTTTTTTGTTACAAGTGAGACTTTTTGGCGAGTTTTACGGTTCATTTTTGAAACAAAGTGTTAATACCAGAAAGATTTATGAAAAATAATAGTCTAGTAATTTTTGTTCAAATTAAATGTAGAAAATCAGCAGTTTATTAAGAAATAAGTATATGTATTACTTGTCAACGTTTTTTTTGCTTTAGCCACTTTTGTTTTTTCTTGAATGTTAAGGTATAAGTTTAGATCTGTACGTTTGCCAAGTTATCTTCGGCTTCTTGCTTATTGCTGTGATCAATAGCACCATCTTGTCAAATGATTCATAGCAAAATAATATTAGAAGATATTGCATTTTGTAAGTAAAAACCACTCTAAGCACTGTGAAATTTCTGCAGAAACTATTTATGAAATGACGCAGCCTGGAATTCTTGAAAAGGTATGAATTTTGCATACTTTATTATATTTAAAAAAAAATAAAACTTTTTTTTTTTTTTTTTTTTGCAAAACTTAATGTAGAAATGTGTTTAAGCGATAAAAAAACTGTTTTTTTCTGAATTTCTGACTTTTGATAAGCATAAAATTTTGCAGCTTCTTTTGAAACGATGATTTTAAAAACTGTTTGTATCAGGGACAGTTGGTCTTAAAAAGGCCTCTCTTGCTGGACATTTTTAATAATATAACTATTCACCCGTCTAGGAAAACAATTAATTGTCTGGCAGTCAAAGATAGTCTTCTTGAAAAATAGCTAGAAATTGATGAAATCAGAAACGATAATAAGACAAATCTAAGCTTAACCTTACAACAGTTTCACTACCATTCACCAATTAAAATAATAAATGTTTTTTTCATTAAGGAGCAAAAGTCATCATTTCTAAGAAATGTTCTACTATTGTTGATTTTTATTAGTGCTTCCTCATTGCTATATTCATTTTTCGTCCACTCAACTTCACCATTATTTTCTGGTAGCGCAGTACTTCAGAAATTTCGTCAGGTAATTAAGCTAAGAAAAAAAATTCTTTTTATAAACTAACAAAAAGTATTTTAATTTGTTCAGTGTCATTTGATTGAATTTTATCGCTAATGTAAAAAAAGAACAAAAGTTCAAAGAAAAAAGAAATTTTTATCTAAAATTGATAAGAAGTTTTTGGTAATGCTGAGAATCAATACTTTCTAAACATATATACTTTTTTGACAGTGCAGAACGAAGATCTAATGATCAAACAGTATCAGAGATGTTTTGCAGAAACAGTTGATCAGGCAACTGTTTCTACAGTAAGTTGCAGCAATCCTATAATCATTTTATTCTGCCAAGATTTTTTTTTCAGTATAAAACTTTTATATATTTACAGTTTTTTAAAGTAGTAATTAGAAATGTCGAAACATGTAAATCACAATTTCTTCCAAACGATATTTTCCACCTGCAGTCATTGGACAACGGTGCAGCAGTTAGATATGCAAGACTTCCTCAACATTTCCTGCGTGTAATATATACCAAAGCCTAAGTTTAACTTTTACTGAAAATAGTAATCGCTTGATTAATAGCTTTACAAAAACTAACCCTAAAAAAAGCTGAACATCAGTTGTTAAAAGCAAGCAAAGAAAACAATATCAATTGTATGTAAGCCATTATTCGTTTCTATAACTTTTTGCTACAAAAAATTGGACACTTTTCAGCCTCCAGAAACATGCGCAGTAGTAATGCTGGGAATAGACAACGAAGTCAAAACAGTTACTGAGCTTCAAAAAATATTTCCAAAAAAATGCATTTATTTTGGTGGCAATCCTTTCCATGAACCCAGCAGAACACTGATGGAAGCTGTTGGCGGTAAATTTATCGAAACAGAGACTATAACGAGTGATGAAGGTAAAACAAAAACAGACGCAAGCAAAAAATACTACAAACTGTGTTGATTAAAATTTAGCAAGTTTAAACAATTATAGATTATATGGTCCGATAAAAACATAAACCAATCTTTCAAAGCACTTTATCTAATTGAATAAATTAAAAAATACCGCCAGTTTCAGAGAAAAGACCGAAAGGAGCAAGAAATCGTCGTATGAACCTAAAACAATTTACAGAGTCAGTACAGGTTTCTGGAAACATTTTTGATTGGCTGTTTGCCGATAATGAAGGCGAAAAGGTATATAAAAGCTTAAAAACAGGGCAAACTGAAATAAAAACTGCTGTTTTACTAACGGTCATAAAATTTGGAAAAACTTGACCGTTTTTTTAAAAATTAATTTTGAGTATTGAAAAGAATCATTTTCTTCTAATAACCTATTTATTAGTATTCAACAAATATTGCACAGAATGCTAACTTTTCTTTTTGTAGTTGCTACCCAAATATAGGACTTCCAGCTGTCAGTAAACGTCAAAAAGAATTCTGTTAATTAATTTCTGTTTACATTAGTCTTGTTAATTTTTAGACAGACTTGTTTTCTGCCCTTATGAAAGGTGGTCTCTTTGATGTACTTCATGTAACTGTTTGCCAAATGAATATGGAGCTAGACTTTTGGAAAATGGGACTTGCAGAAAAAGAAACTTTCGTAAATTTCCTTCTAGACGCTTCTTGGAATGAAAGGTTTCTTTCTAGTTTCATCGGCAAAACTTTTCACAGTTCATTTTCTATATATTCTAAAATTTTATTTTTCAAATTAGTGAACAGAACTGAAAGTAGCGTCTTTTTAGAAGTTCATGTATATTCTGGGAAAAAAAACGAGTTTTTTTAGGTATGTTTTTTTGAAACTAAGATATTCACAGAAAGCCACAATATCGTTCTTTGGACTAAATATACAAGATGAGGCCTGTCGTGAACGGTACTGGTTGGACATAATCCATAAAAGACTCAGTGCAGAAAATAAAACTGTTTAATTTATTGTGTGTGAAAAACGATAAACTGCTGTAACAAGAAAAAGTTGTTAAGCTTTTACTGATAGTGTAACTTGAAAAGTTCCTCATTAGAAGTAAGTGTAAGTTGAGAATAAAATAATTTATTAAATAATAATTTGAATTAATATTCACTTAATTCTTCACGTTCTGCACATAATCATCATCCTAGTAACTGTAATGCGTCAAAATATAAGATTTAATTCCCTTATGTTTACTTTTAAGCATATAATTTATTAACTGGACACTTAATCGTGCCAGTCAAAATAAAACAATTTATCTTCATTGACAGATTAATGATAACCGCAAACAGCAAATACGCAAGAAACGGTGATGTAGACTGGTGGCTTTAATGCATTAAACAACTAACTGGCTGTTTTTTTGGGTGTAAGAATTTGGGAGAAGCGAACCGTGGAGGAAACGTTGACGAAGCAGGACGAAACAGCAGGAAGGAAAAGAGAAATGCACCAATGGAAAGCGACAGCAGCGCAAAAATAACTGCCGAGCATTTTGTTTTGCAACTGTTCATATACGAGTCTTTAACTCGGCTCTTACGAAGTCCTAACTTCAGTACATTAAGTCCTAAATTCTGGCTGAAATACTTTTTAGTTCATATATGCATTCAGGACTTTTGTATCATTCATCTTTCACACCTTATATTGTTTGCTGTGATTTTTTTCTAAGTGCGATATAAGTTTACTTCTTTAAAATTACCATGCATTTTGATGACTTTGCCACTGTCACTCTACTGGCTTTAAAATTGAGAACCTCAGTATTTTTTGCTGCAGTAATGCGAAATCAGTTATAACGCATTCTTTCCAATTACATCGTTTCGCTTACTGGCCTCTCTATCGCTCTATTCGCAGTGCGACTTAAGGCACACCAAAATAGCTTATTGCCACCTATAATTCTCGGAGTTTTCCACACAAAATTATGCTAAAAGGTACAAAGTCTCCGATCAAGGTCTAAAATGAACGGCAGTTTTTGTAGCTAAAGGAAGCTGCGACGACTGCGTTATTACAGTTTGCTTAAGGGAAGAGCCATTATACAGGTTACATCTTGAGACGTACATATGAGACAGTAAGTTTAAAAAACTCTTAAAAGTCTTCTAAGAAGGAGCTAAAATAACGTTGTAAAAAAACAACAAAAGCTTACTTCTGCAAAACGACCACAGACCACAAACGAACAAGCTGAATTTGCGGTAAAAACCAGTACTTTATGGGCTATAAATGTAGGAAGAACAAAGAGTTTTATACGTTGTATGTAATAACAAAGGACTGTCGCTTCTCACCTTCTGCATTTTTCTCGTATATTTAGTGGCCTATTTCATGTTCAGACACCTGTTCACTTCTGCAGCTGTCGCGATAATTTCGTTCTTCTAAAACGTAAACGCTGCTCACGCATGTAGTTCAGAAAAATCGGTGAATTGGTGGAAGCATAAATGTTGCCCTAAATATAAACTTTTATCGTGATTTGAAATAAAATATCTGCTGACTGAGTCGTATAGTCTATTCTTGTTTTTGTGTTTAAAATTCGTAAAAGATAAGAAATCTGCAAACTTCCAATTTTCTGAAAATTGCCAACTTTTTTAAGAATTTGTTTTTACAAGAAGATTAGTCATATCAGTGGCAATATTGTGTGCTATCAATTCCAATTTTTATGCATAAAGCTGCATCTGAATCACTTTTTATCTTTTGGAGTAAGTGGTCTAGAAGGCATCGTTTTTTTTTTTTTTTTTTTTTTTAGCTCGGATAAATAAGTCACTGTATTTTTTTAAGACTCTTGCACTTTGACGGCCCCAGTGTGCTGATTGGCTAGCTGCTTTTTGGTGCGCGAGTTGAGTGAGAGCACAGTGACCGGGACAGCAGTGGCGATGCAGTAGAGCTGAGAGAGGCAAAAAAAAACAAACTATATACATATTAGAAGCTGGTGATAGGCTGAAGTTTTTAAAATGGTTGTAAACACTAAACTCTAAACCTTTTTTGATACTTCCTTTAATTTTGGATCTTCAAAGAGATTTTCATGTTAAATTTTTTTTCAGTTTTTTAAGTTGAGGCAAAATTATTTCTGGTAAAAACTACTAAATTTCAAACATTTTATTTTGAATTTTTTCTTATGCACAATTAAAAAAGACGGATTATGGTGGTGAAATAATCTTTACATAACTACAGCTTTTTTTCATGAACGAAATGAATATGCGAAAACAAACAATTAGTATTTATAACTGTACAGAACATATAATTTATATGTATTATTCATCTAGCATTTAATGCAAAAGTATGTTGAAACAATTGCTAAATGTTCTCCACAAAACAAATATCTTGATAAGTTCACCTTTAATGGTGGTGTTGTCGCAAGAATCTGAAGTGAGAAGATAAAACTTCTATTTACAGGTCATTAAAAAGTGCACGTAATTGAGAAGCAGTTGCATAACACGTTAAAAAAACACTAATTCATTGAAAAATTTAAAATAAAGATATTTTCAGACATATTAAGAAGTTAGATGCCTTTGACAATTCTAAAATTGTTCTATTAGTATGCTGTCAGGATTTTTTATCTGAAGCGCTGATACAGTGATGGGAAGCCCTGTCATAACTGCAGCTTTTAGATGTGAGATCAAATCGTTTTCCAGAAATTTAATAGGCAGTTATTAGACTGGAAACCTGAACAGTAATTACATCAATTTTGCTTTACTCTATAACTAAAGAATTGTCCTGTCAAACCGGAATTTATTTGTGTTATCTGTTTTTTTAACAGCTTTTCATGGTATATCATTGAATTATCGGCATCAACATAACAAAAAAGAAATTTTTTTATTAACGGTAATTTTGTTTTACAAAACTTTACATTCTCTTTCATCGGCAAAGATTATTTTTGCTTGCTAAAGTAACATCAATTTTTTTTTTTGGTTTTTTGATAAGACGAATATTTCGATTAAATTTTTCTGAAGGCTTTCACAATCTTTTTTTTTGGCTATGTTCGTTAAAGATTTATTTAAGGCGGGTTTTAGCGTAGAATTCAGCGAGTTTTCAAGATTGCAAACAAATTTTTATTTTACCACTTGTTTCTAAAAAATTTTAACAATGACAATAAAAAAATGCAATAAAAAAAACAAGATTATTAACTGTGATGTGTCCAGAATTAAAGCCAAAAAATTTTTTTGGATTTCTAAAAAAAGAAACAAGTTATGAATTCAGATTGACCTGAGCATGAAGCTTTATCCCGCAGCAATTTATAAATGCTGTTTTGAAATTCCACCGGTTTTTCAAACGTTTGTTCTTTTTATTTGGAAGCAGAATTTCTATTTGGTAAAATAAAAATTTAAAGTTTTAAACAAATTGTTTGATAAATTTAAATTACAGCCATAAGTTTTGAAAAAGACGTTTCTTTTAACATACTTTAATTTGCATTAGAAATTAAAAAATTTTGGAGAAAGAAACAAGTTCAAAAAATGTTTAATGCAACTATTTCCGAAACACTTGAATAACGCTAGTGAAACTAAGATTAAAGTAATAAACGAGTACAGTTCAAAACCGTTTCAAAATATTGCAAGTTCTGCTGAACGTATTCTGCTATAAATAACCTACCTATGGTTATTTTTATTACAAGAACATATCCTTTAGCATCTTCTACAGCAGTTATAATATAACCATATTTCCTCTTATAAGTTTTAATATATTTTTCTATGTTAGTTAGGTTTTACTTGAATATTCGTCTAAAGCGATTATCAGTTGCATATTTCTGTAGAACTAGCCTTGGCACTAATTAACTTACAAATTCTCTGTTTCATTGAAAAAGTATTAATAAACAATAATATTTTGCACAGCAAAGTTTTTGCGTTTAAAATAGTATAATTTTAGAGCGAAAATAGTACGGAATAAATTGTTCTTTCTTTCAAAACGAAGCAATTTTTTTTGTTACTCTGGCATAAGTTTGAAGTAAAGACTGATTTTTGGTTAACGATAAGCACAATAAAAAAATAATGCATTAAAACTCTAAATACTTATTAGTTTTTAACCTGCAGTGCAAAGACAAAGAGAAGATAAATGTAAGTATTAGATTGTTTGATAATCACCTATAAAATATCATTTGCTGATTTTCAACTTTCAATGACAAATGGAAGGTCGATATCTTCTTAGTTTCACTATGACGACGAAAAATTCAGGGCAATCGCTGGCTCTAATTTGAAATGAACTATTTGTGGTATAACTTCAAAAATTTAGACTTTACATCAAGCAAGTACCAGGCACACGGATGCGATAAAAAAGAAGGAAAGATTGAAACAACTGCTTGCTTATAATTTCACCAAATTTTATAAAAGCGTCTTTTATTTGATGATTATTATGCCATATAATATCTCTCCTACAAAATTTGTACAGAATTTAAGACAAAAATGCACCAAAAAAGTACAGCTGTATATGAAATTAACTTTATGCTTCAAATAAAAAGAAAATTGTTCTCTAGAAGCTACTGCTAATGCGAAACTAAATCCCAGGTTTGATGACTAAATGTCACTAAAGTTTAAAACAGCATCTTGATGTTTATAATACAATGGAACTTTCAAGAAAATTTGTAGAGAAGAAAAACTTTGGAACCATTCTTAAAAATTTTGTCATAATACTGTCAATAAATGTTATATGATTCAAAAAATGTAGTCAGACGTTGAACAAAAAGTAAAACAATAATATGACAAAATAAGAAAAAATTTTTGGTGTATGTCGTGACTGCAGACAAAATCTTAAAATTTGAATAGTCGCCCTCGTCAGCTTCTCTTCTACAGTGTCCTATGGAACCTCTCTACTACGCTCTCTACTGTAGTCCAATCAGTCCTTGAACCTACAGCACCAACCTACAGCTACCTTGAGACTTTACTTCCTGCTCAAGACCCTTTCTAGTCCTAAGCCTTCTATGTACCAATACGTCTTGAATAAATGCCAACTCTTGTGCTTAGGAAGATTGCTACTCAGTTGTAGTATACCCACCTAAGCTTATGAACAAGAGGAAATACTTGGATACTAAGCGTGCGTCACCACCTTTCCTACTAACTAGTTTATTACACACAAACCAAATTATACAGAGATATAAAATACTACCTGAAGCAGTCCAATAACCTCTTATACACAACAATGAAATATAATAAATAAAGAGACTACTAGAAAGAAAAGATAATGAACACACAACTGCCTATGGGCACATTATAAGAGAGAGAAAACTTTATAAGAAAACCGCCGCCAATCAACTGGATGTGACTGAAATGAAGATACTGAAATTAGCTAATTGTCACTCCCTATTTATAGCCAATTCTACCGGTGGCGTCACTTAGGTGATATGCTCCTCCGAGAGCGTCCCCTCAGGGAACATAACCCCGTCGGTCACTTATTGTAATTAAGTGCCGTTTCGCGTATGGTCGCGATAGTGTAAATACTTTAATTTTGTTATAAAAAAATTTGTATAGTTGACTGTAAACAGTAATTTATGTTGAATTTTATACCACAAAAAGCTATAAAAACGTTTTCAAAAGTTACTGCTATTAGTTGGAAGCAAAAACAATTGCTCATTGTACTTTTTGTTCGTAGACAAAAAATTGTTAGATATTTTGCAGTGATGTGGCAACCTAAGACTTTTTGAATTTTGTTCAAATAAATCAGACATAAAGATATCACGATGAAAAAAAAAAAAAAAAGGAAACGAGGACAGCGTCAGACCAAAAAAAGTCAGTGAAGTATTAACAACTTTTTTGTCTGCAAAAAAAAAAAAAGTGTCAAAAATTTTCTTTTTATAGCAATTTATGGTCTTTCGTTAAAATTGTTATTTTTCAGGATTAGTTAGCCCTAGTAAATCTCGTTGTTTGATCAGTCCTTTCCTTATTTTTGACCTGTAAAGTAGGGTGATCAATTTTGTAGAAACTAAATAACTGAAACAGAAACCAAAGATAAAGTGCTTAGGTTGACAAAATTTCAAGTCCGCAATTTTTTTAAGTCTAAAATCTCAATAAAAAGAAAATAATTTGTCGAGAAAAAGAAACAAAAGTTTTGTAGATTAAATTAACTTTTCTTAAGTCAACAGCATTTTAAGACTGAAAACTAGAAAAAAAAAAAAGAAGAGAGCACAAATTAGTGTTTTTACTATACATTTAGATTCGTTCCTTTTTTTATCCAAATGTTAGAATCTGTAATATTGAAGTGTTTCCTTGCTGTCTCCTTGTTTACCATATCTAACTAGATCATCAGTCAGTCTTATGAATAACTTCCGATTTTAAAATTATCAAGGTTTTTTTAAAGAGATTCAAGATTTTGCAAAGACTCTTTTAATTATTTCAGCTATTTGTCTATAGGTTTTTTGTTTCTGTTTTTGGTTTCTTTTTTTTTTCTTAACTTCTCCTCTTTCTTCTTAGATTTTTTTTCTTTTAGCTATGTTACAGCTCAACATCTTTCTTCTTTTTTCTCAACCTACCAATTAAATTACTTTTTCTTATAATTTGAAGAATAACATATTATCTAGTTGCGAGCTAGAATTTTATACTAAAGACAAAGCGAAAGATGATAATAAAAATAAATAGCAGTAAACTGCTTCAAATAAAAAAACTCTTTCAAAACACTTATCGCATTTCTCTTCTTTGGTGAAAATCTGAAATTCTGCTCTAAACAGCAATGGTTTTTTTTTTGCTCTTAATGATTAACCTTAAATGTGTTTTGAGCGATAAGTTTCGGTAATCAAATTTTTTTTAACATTGTTTTTTTTTATTTTACAATGAATAGCTATAAAAATCTTTGAAAATATAAACGACCATTAATGCTTCTAACTTTAAGCATTATAATTTTTTTATTTTTTTTATTTACACGCATGTTTTTAATACATTTTTTAGAGTACTGTGCTGTTGCATATCAAATATTAATCTTATAACTTTTATTTGATTAAATGATTCAAAAATATTGATAAAAATCGATCGAGCGTTGTTTGTTTTATTGAACCCCTGTCACTTTTAGAAAATTTCTAATTTTCACTGTCTAGAAAACTTTTATTTTCTTAACAATAATCTATAATTCAATAAATTTTAGGTTAAAATTTAGTAAGAAGAAAAATCATTGACTATTAATTCAACGGTATATCAGCTATAATGGCAGAAAATTTTCAATTTGATGCCAAAATGGTAAAAGTTTCTGTTACTTCATTTTTTTGATTACTTTCAGATTCGGTTTAGAATAAACCGACAAATCCAACTGTATTGATTGTACTGCTTTATCATTAAACCAAAAAAATATGTACAGTAAAAAGAAAGTACTACTTATAACATCTAAATCATAACTATACGATTCTAACAAAAAAAAAAAAAGAAATTAGTAGCGATTAAAATAAGAGAAATTCAGATGCCACTGCGATAAATTATCTGAGATGTATACATTCAAAACAGATAAAAGTATATATCTGCCCAATCATTACGCTTTCTGTACCGAAGAAATTATAGTAGAAGTATGTTAAATTTAGGTGCTTCGAATTTTACGAGTGAAAGGTACAGTTATTTTAGCTGTTGTTACGGGAATTCTATTTTTGTTGACACTGTATAGTCATGGTTCAAATATTCGCTATAAACTTGAGTTACTGATTATGCGACAGTCTATGGTAAGCTTTTTAAAAATTGTTGTCATTTGACAGTGGTCAACAAAATTGGTTGCTTATTTTATTCGATATGAAGGTGCTAATAAAGAAAATTTAAACACAAATATAGCAGTTAAAAAGTAGTATCAAAAAAGATTTTTTATTTTGGCACTGCAAAACCGTTCTATATAATATATAATCAAAAAATAAAAATAAAAATAAACAAATAAATAAATAAAGTCATTTAAAAAATAAAAAAAATTTTTTCATTTGTAGAATTTCATTCACAAATTTTTCAGCTACTTTTTTTAAAAAATTTATAAATACTGTTAAATAAACTACATATGTTTATTAGACTGATTGGTTCGACAAATATTGGCAATGCTCCGGTCAAATATTTGGTTCTTCCAATGAAAGCACCGAAATGCTTGACGCGAACGTATGTGTTCTACATAAAAATTCAATTTTTTTTATGATGATTAGAAGGAACATTATAAATTACAGTTTTGGGGAGAACTAAGGAAGAAACTAAAGCAATGCGAAGTGGAAGTCATTCCAAAGCAAGAATCCCTGATTCTACCGTTGTATAATAGCAAAGAGTACAAGTATGCGATTATCCCAAAACGACCAGTTTCGGTAAAAGCACGAAACAACAAACTTATTTTTGTAGCAGCTTAAGAACTGCTTTTCAAGTGTTTCTTTAGCAAATTCTTGAAAAGACAAAATAACCTTTCTGTAATGTCACTTCTGTAAAATTGTTTTGGCACTAAAACTTAAGGCCAGTTAATGACTTTTCTTTTGCAGCCTAAAAGTAGATGTTTGGCTGTAGTGATAGGAATGGACGGTGAAATTGGCTCTGAAGCAAAGCTTCAAAATTATTATTCGGATGCATGCGAAATTTTTGGGGTAGACCCTGTTGCTAGCCCAAACAGAGGTCTTTTAGAACTTATTGGTGGTAAGTTTACCCATGCTACAATACGGATGACCAATAATGTGACGACAGATTCTACTTTGAAAAGTACGCACTTTTTGACAAGTTGTGTTGTTTAACTGCTTTGTCTTGCTAATCGAGCTAATTTTGGCAATTTAATGTGCTTACAGGTTCCCCATGTACCAATATTTGTATTGCATAATAAGATAGATCTTTTATTTACTGTTAAATATCGATATTTAAACTCGTTCTAAACTGTAGAAATGGAGAATAATACGCCGAAAATTCCACATATAAACTTGAAGCAGTTCCTAGTAGAAACTGTAGGCGTAAAAAAAATTCTTGATTGGCTGTCTATTGATTTTGGTAGCGAAGAGGTACAACATTATTTGCTACAAATCTTCTTAAAGAAGACTGTTATTCAATAAGTTTTTAAAATTGTACTCTTTTATTGTTTCTATTTTTATTTTTCTGAGGTCAAATACCAAGAGAAAGTAAGTTTTTTCTTACTAAGTTTTTTTTCTCTGCAATTACAAGCTGTTAAATGCTAGACTGCCTTTAAAAAATTTTTTTTCTGGAAAGAACTTGCCTATAATGATGAGAAATGTTTCTTAACAGGTGTCTCGGTTTGACCACTGTAGCTTTTAGATCAATCCGTTTCCAATCTTTTTAAAAGGCGGTGTTTTCGACAGTCTCGATGTGGACGTCTGTCAATGGAATGGTAGAGTCCATCTTAAACAAACGGGACCTGAAGGAGAAAAAGCGTTTCTCAATTTTCTTAAAGCATCTATTAGAATTAAAAGGTACTGATCGTTCTAAATTTTTATTTGGGTTTGAAGA